TACCAAGTACCCCCGCCTCTTTCTTCCAAGGCAAGTCTCTCTCCTTGGGTTCTGTTCTTCATAGTCTCTCTCCTTCATCCTCCCCCAGCCCTCTTACACTTCCACACACACACACACACACACACACACACACACACACACACACTTCCTTTTAAGGTAAACACCTTATAGAGCAGGGGATTCAACCCCAGGGTCCAGGGATAGAGTTAGGAATAGTGTACTTGGATGAGGGGGGAAAAATACTACATCTTTATTTCACTAACTTCATTTAGAAATAGAGAGTTTCTCTAAATCATTTGTTTAGCCAACAAATTACATTGGTGTTAGTCATACCTGTGCCTTTGACCCCAAAAGGAAACCAAACAAGTCCGTTCCCACTAGCAGAACTGCCCCACAGGGTTCCCAGGCTGCGATTCTTCATGGAAACAGACTGTTGTCACTGTTGTCTTTCTCGTCTAGAGCCACGGGTGGGTTCAAACGGCCGAGCACTTTACCACTGAGTCACCAAGACCTTTGACACCAATAGGCTCAAAACCAAGCCCACTGCCATCAGGTCAATGCTGACCCTGGCAGTTCCATCATTCCATGCCAACATGAAGACATAGAAGAGCGTACGGGGTGGAGTTTAGTCTGTCCATCGGGTCACAGCCTGATGACTTCACTTGGAGGTGAGAGGGAGAACTATGGCTCTCTTGAGGCTGGCCTCTCTCCCTCTGCCCTCATCTTCCTGCTTCCTGATCCTGAGAGCTGCCTGAGCCCTGCTGTTTTTTCCACGGCCATTGGATCCACATGACTTTGCACCCACTGGCCTATGATCTTCCTGTGGCTCTGTGAGTCCGAAGAGAGACTTATGGACTAGTATCAGACTTATGGACTGAAGTTGGACCGGGCTTAGATGTTTTCTTGATATATAACTACTTCTTGAGCAAAAGCTCTCTCTTACACACATGAGTATCACTGGATTTTTCCTCTGGTCAATGCAGCCTAACATATTGACTCATGGCGACCTTATAGGACAGGGTAGAACTACCACTGTGGGTTTCTGAGACTGTGACCCTTTACAGGACTAGAAAGCCTCATTTTCCCAGAGTAGCTAGTGATTTTGAACTGCTAACCTTGCAGTTCAAACCTTGCAGTTAGCAGCCCAACTTTGCAGTTAGCAGTTCAAACCTTGCAGTTAGCAGCCCAACCTTGCAGTTAGCAGTTCAAACCTTGCAGTTAGCAGCCCAACCTTGCAGTTAGCAGTTCAAACCTTGCAGTTAGCAGCCTAACCTTACAGTTAGCAGCTCAAACCTTGCAGTTAGCAGCCCAGCCTTGCAGCTAGCAGTTCAAACCTTGCAGTTAGCAGCCCAACATATAACCACTACACAATCAGGGTTCCTGACACCAATAGGAACACATGTTTTCCTATTATATCTTGATTGCTGTCTCATAACATCACTTATGTTCATCACTACTTGAAAATTAGGTTAGTTATTAGACCTCAAGTATATTTTGTCATTCAATATTAAGTGACTATTAAAGAAGTATTTATATTACTGTTATTTAAAAATTAATAATTTCTTCAATATAAATGTTTTCCAAGCTTACATATGCTATTTTGTAAATTTTTATATTGATAAATGAGTCCTGGTTGCATAGTAAGTTATGTGTTGGGCTGTTATCCACATAGTCAGCAGTTCCAATCCACCAGCCCCTCCACAGGAGAAAGATGAGGCTGTCTGTGTGCTCTTGTAAAGATTGACAGTCCTGGAAACCCTCTTGTTCTATAGGTGACTACGTGTTTGAATCACCTGGAAGTCGGTGGGCTATACATTTATAAAGTGGCCCATGGGCTTGCCCAGGCTATGGGGTCCATAACACACACAGGTTAAAGGGATGTGCCAGGCCATGAGCATTGGAAAGCGGGATCTGAGGTTTGCTCTGGGCCATCAGGGGCGGCACAGGGCATCGAAGGGAGAGTGGGCAGTGTGCCAGTGGCAGTGTTACGCTGGCTGCTCCGGGAGCAGAGAGCTGGGTGAGCTTCAAAGACTAAACTATGGGTTCTCGCTCGCCAGCAGGGGGTCTTGAGCAAGCTACTTCACCTCTCTGGGCTTCTCAATTCCCTTAACTTTAAAAAGGAAAAACAACACAGCAGATGATTCTTACACGCATGTGTTGAGAGAACACGTGTGGCAGCAAATACTGCCTAGCTGACTAACTGGCAGTTGGCTGGTTCTGGGAAGGGCAACCTTTCCTACTGGGGGGCTTCTGGAGCTTTTTACTTTTAAAGACAAGCGTGAGCCATTCCCTGTGCCCACCCACTGCTATCAAGTTCATTCTGACTCATAGAATCCCTACAAAAGACTAGTTCTTCATGGGACTAGACGGCCTCATTTTTCACACCCAGAGTGGCTGATGGGTGTGAACACTGCTACCAGGGCTCCTGTCCCCTGTGCAGGCTTCCCTTGGCCTGGAGCTTCAGGAATGCTGCAAGGCACCTCAAACTCAGAAACACACCCCAGCAGCCTATCTGATACTTCATTTAGGCCCCTGGTTCTCCTTCTGCCCCTTGTACTCAGGCCAGAGGGCAAAGCAACTTCCCTGGCCTGGAGGAGAAGACGACGAAAGTAAGTGGAGCGATTCCAGTCCTTCCCAGCATTGGTCACGGGAGCCAATGTACAGAGTAGCTGGGTCTCACCATTCAGGGACAACATCTATGATCCTGCGGTCCTCGCTGCCCCTCCCAGAGCGGGCTAGGCTAGCCAGGGGCACACTCGGGGTACACTGGCCAATGGGTAAAGAGGCCTGAGGAAGGGCAGAGGAAACCTTGCCATTCCTAACGTCATGCAAAAACTCACTTTGACCTGCCCTTTCTAAAATTTGGGTTCAGCAGTATTCAAAAGCACACCAACCTATGTGATCCAAGTATTGTAAATAATCAAATCAAAATCAAAAGGTGGGTACGGTATCAGAGCTTAAATTCTGAACAATCAGTTTGCAGAAGGCTATAGATGACAGTGGAGGCCCAAAATCCATTTGCAGAATCCCCACATGGATTAGGCATCCAGTAGAATCCTTTCTGATCACAGTCCAGGGATATGAAAACTATGAAATAAAATTAAAAGCAAGCTTAAAAAAACAAAAAAAGAGAGAAAGGTTCTGCTGTAGAAAAGGGATGAGCAGTCTTTAAAAACTGCATATGCTGGTTACTTTCTGGTTATCAATTCTAAGTTATGGGAAGACAGAGGGCAAAGAAGCTGCCCTGGCCTGGAGGAAAAGAGGATGGAAGTAAGTGGAGCAATCCCAGTCCTTCTCAGCAATGGAAATTAAAGTAAATCATGAACTCAGTCTCTAGAAATCAAAGTTAGTATCATAGAGGTGGATTTTCTTCCGTACACACATACACTCGCACTCTTACATAAATTGGGATCACAATTACATAGAGACTTTTATATCTCGGTTTCAGCCTCCAAGAATACATAAAGACATTGCAATGTGACCTCTTGAAGACCATAAAGCTATCCCATTGGATGCTGGTGGTAAAATGCACCTGTCACGGAGAGATGGCCTGGTATTCTTAAGAAGCGTATTGTGCATTAAAACAGCTACACCCAGAAATCGGATAAGAGGAGGGCCTGCCTCACGAGTCTTAAAGAGCAAGTAAGAGAGAACTTCCTCTCTCAACTCAGAGAGAGTCCAGAGAAGGTGCTTTTGTATTCTCAGCAAAGAGGCACTACGTGACATCTCATCTTTTGACTTGTTCTTATCTCCCCCGTCAAGGGAAGGCTCTGCACAGTCACTGCTGGAGACACTGTGTCTCCATTGAGAGAGTGCTCAGCAGCTGAAGAAAAGCACCCAGGAAAAGTTGTATGGCAGCCAGAGTCTGGCACGGAAACGGCTCAGGCTGGGGTCAGATGTGAGCGCTGTTCCTCCAGACCCAGCCCACGGCATCCTCTCCTTAGGTGTCAGGGAAGACACCACCGGTCACTTCAGGTGGTCTTTGTGGGTTGCCCGAGAAAGCACATCCCCCCGTTGCGACACTGCTGGCATTGCTTTATTTGGCGAACTACTCATTGTGTGCACTAAGCAGGGCAGTGGCCAGCAGGGGTCAAAATCATGACCTCTGAAGCCAGCCTGCCTACTCCTAAAATTACACGTCCCTTGACCTCTCGGTTTCTTCTTCATGGCAATCCACCTACCTCACAGGGCTGTGGAGTAATATGAGTTATGCTACATGCAGATTAGAAGGGTCCCTGGCGTACACTGTACAATGAACAACCTAGGAGGTGAACAATGCAGTCAACGGTCAATGACAAGGTATAAAGCTGAAAGAAACTTAGCCTGGCCATAAGGCATTAGCAAACAAACGAAACAAGCCGATTCTGACTCCCGAGAGAACATGTGTGGGAGTAGAACTTGGCTCCCCAGCTTCTCGAAGGCAGTGATCGTCCAGCAGGAGAGCCCCAGGCCTTCCTCCCCAGGGACCTCCAGTTGGAAGGGAGCCAACAACTTTTTGGTTAGTAGGTGAATGCTTTGCCATTATACCACCAGGGACCGGCTCCTTAAGCTTTCCACAAAATTGGTACTATCTCGAATTCGAAAGTTGGATTCGCTGACCCCATCAGTTGCCCCGTAAAGCGATTCCCCGCTCCCCGAGCTTGGGGTTGGCCCACTCCTGCCTACCTTCTCTGCATCCTGCTCGAAGAGCCGCAACTGGAAGCACTGGTCCAGCTTGAGCTTGCGCACGTGCCACATCTGGTGCAGGTGCTGCCGGGTGGAGTGCAGCTTGTCCAGGAGGCTGGTGATCTTGGGGACCAGGCTCTGGAAGTCAGCGCTGCCGGGGATGCAGTTGCGCCCTGAGAAGCCGTCACTGCAGCGGATGCACTGCAGCAGCCGCTGCCCCTCCCGGTCCAGCTCCTCCACGGGGGCCTTGAGCACCTTCTTCTTGAGCTGTGTGTGCTCGTCAATGAGCCGCCTCGAGCCCTCCACGTCCACTGGGAACTCCTTCCGGGCCAGCATCTCCTGCAGGTCCTCGAGGCGCGAGAGCAGGTGCACCGCGCTGTTGAAGAACTCCTCCAGGGAGAGCCGCAGCTCGATCCACTCTTCGTGGTTGTAGTCCAGGGAGCCGTCAAACTCCTCCGTCAGCTGAGAGGGGTCCACCAGCTTCGTGAGGCCTTCCACGGATACCATGCTGGTCTGTGGGGACAGACACACACAGGTGATTCAGTGATGCGGGGGGAGGAACAGGGAGTAAGAACAAGGGCCACCACAAGGGAGGGCCAGTGGAGGAGTGCGGGGCCTGCTGGACGGGAGCCACAGATGAGCCAGGAACACTGGCTCAAAGGCCACTTCATCTGCCCACCATTTATCAGGCAAGGAGAGACTCCTTGCCTCACTTTTGCTCCTTGCCACCCCAAGGTCACCCCCAAGGGCTTTGGATGCCAGAAGCAGGAGACTCGGGGAGTCAATCAGACCCAGTGTCAGGGGCCTGATTTCTCTGGTTTTAAATGCAGGCCCATTGACCCAGGGTGCCTTCATGCTTGGACGAGATCTCCCAGTGTTTCCTCATGCCCTGGGCTGGGCCACCTGCAGCCCAGCCTGAGAGTCTCCCATTAACAGAGGGGTGGATGCTGAACACAGGACCGAGGCTGGGAACAGGAGCCTGGGCCCTGAGGTTCCTTGATGAGCCACCTACAAGCTCACGCTGAGTGAACGATGTCTGTCTTCTGGAAGCAAAGCCCCCTCAGCAAATGATGATGCAAGCAACTCTGTCTCAATAAAACGGCCTTTCCAGCCTGCAGGACCCCAGGCTTTTCCTCGCGCTCCTGAAGGAGAGGCTGGCGAAGAAATACCTGGGTTCAGATCGCCGTTATACTAACTATATACTAACTCTATAACTGTTCTGTTATACTGTGTGACCCAAGGCAAGCCATTGGAGCTCTCTGAGACTCAGTCTCCTCATCTAAACAGTGGAAATGGCAATGCCTTCCCTTGGGGCTGTGCTAGGATCATGAAGAAAGCACGTGCAGATGCCCAGCCCAGAGCACATCCTCAATGCCTGCTAGCACTCACCATGAGGGTGACTGCAAGGCCGGGCCAGCAATGAACTTCAAGAGAGAAGCTGCCACTGAAAGAAGGTGCTCAAATGTGCACTGCTCATTAAGATCCTGTGTGTGTGTGCAAGCCCTGATCGCACTGGCCTGGAGTGGAGCCTGAGCCTGGGTGTTTTTATAAAAGCTCCCCGGGTGCTTCTAAGGTGCAGCCAGCATGACCAACCTCCGCCACTCTAGACGCTTGCTTCTGCGAGGGTGGCTCTTGCATCAGCCGCCCTGATATCGCCTCAGCCGAGGGCCTGGGAGAGATGCAGGCCCAGAGACTGCGCTTCAGCAAGGCCCCCTGGATCCCTGTGCACATTACGTTTGGGGAATACTATCCCATAGCACAGTCTGCCAGGAAGCCTCCCATGATTACACTCACCAGTCATTCATTAAGTATCTGCTACTGAGCAAGCCTGTACTCTCTCCTCGGGGAGAAAGATGAGGCTCTCCCCTCCCTTCACAGTCTCGGACACGCACAGGGGCAGTTCTACCCTGTCCTGTAGGGTCGCTGTGAATCGGCATCAACTCGGTAGCAGTGAATTTGGTTCTGGGTTTTCGTCTCTGTATCGCCTATTGCTTCTGTCCGCACTCGGTGTTTGGTTTGCTGTTTTCAGGACAGTGCTTTATAAATATTCTTCCCTGCTACAGCATTTGCTATCCCTGGGAGTGGGAGGCCCTGAACTTTCGGACTAGGGGACAGAGATAAACTGGCTTCACTTGGAATGAGAGTGAGTGCAGGGCAACTAGGCTGAAACAAACATTTCAAGGCTTACTGAAAAATTATTTTAAGTCTCTTCAGTTTATAAATTTATAAGCCTGTTGTCACTGCCTTGGTATAAACAAACTGAAATTATAAAAAGCATTTTCTCACAGGGCTCCCAGTGTTCAGTGAGGGTGCTGGGGGAATATGCTTGTTAACTGCTTTTATATGAAGCGAAATTTATTGTGTTATTTACACAGAGTGCGAGCTGCCTCCATCAGGCCCTGTGCTGAAACCATCACCGAAGAGACAGGCGCTCCTGGCCCTGGGGACCAGACTGTGCAGGGGAAGCTGCTGAAAGAAGGACAGCAGCTAGCTAGCCTGCTCTCTCTCTCTTGGTCTCTCTCTGTCTTTCTCTCTCTCTCTCTCTCTCTCACACACACACACACAGGTGCGCACACACACTCTTACCTTTTCTTCTCACAGGTAAGAACCAGAATTCTGAGAAAAGGGGAAAGGTCAAAGTTGAGCTGGGAACACATGTGGCCCCTTCAAAATTTCTCAGGGGCAGATACGTCTTCTGGGAAATTTACTTAAAAACTTACACGTTTTCCCTGATTATAAATACTGGGAAGAGAGTTATGAAATACTGGGAAGAGACTGGAAAAATATGAGGAAAAGAAAACCCACTCATCATTCAACCTCCTCAAACAAATGACGGCCACTTCTTCTACGTCTCTCCACCTCCTCTCTCTACACGTGTGTGTACACGTATATGCAGATATACATTTGAGATTATACTGTTCATGCTGTCTTATCACCTGCCCTGTGTAACTTACTAAGTCACGACCATTTTCCCCGTGGCACTCAATATTTTTTTCCAGTAAAGTCTGTCAGAGCCTTTAGTATCAGAGTGCTAATGTTACTCATCTCTTCTTGGTGACACCATATGTATCTGATATCACAGAAATCCATTGGCGGCTAACCCACCAGCTGCTCCGCAGTTGAAGACGGGGCTGTTTGCTTCTTTAAGGGTTTCCCCTGGGAAGCCAGTGGGGCGGTGCTTCTCTGCCCCAGGCGGGGTGCTAGGAATCAGGCTGGGCTCCATCGCTATGGGGTTGGTTCTTTTAATAATGACCGAGAACTGTGTGATGAACACCTCTGTACAATGTGTGTGTGTATTATAATTAGCTGCCCACCTTTTTGTTTTCCTGAGTTCTTATTTTAAGAATATTTTACTAGAAGAAGAGTGAACAGATCAATAGATCCAAATTCTTTTTTTAAGGCTCTGACACAAATTGCAAAGCTGCCCCGGAAACTCATCTTGAGGAAAACCGCTACGAACAGCCACTAGGAATGCCCATAGACACTGTGCCTCTGGAGCTATGTCTTGGGCCCCCCACTTCTCCCCAGCCCTCAGTGGTAAGGCCCTGGGCATGCTGCCATGGCTGGCTCATTGGAGAAGGGGAGGGGAGGAGGGTGTAGGTAGCAGAGGGGAAGGAAGAGAGAGAGAGGATGAGCTCACCTCAAAGATGAACTTGGAGCTGCCGAAGTTGGTCTTCTGCTTCTGCCAGAAGTTGTCGGGTTTGATGATGAGGGCCACATGGATCTCGGCGGGGAAGGCTTCCTGCAGCGTCTTGAGGAGGGGCTTGATGAGGTCCCACTTGGAGCCCCGCATGTCGATGATGACGGTGAAGCCACGTTTGCACACGTCCTCACTGTGGGAGGGCAGGGGCAGGCGGGGTCACTGCCAGCAGTCGAGACTTTGCAGGACAACATAAAAAGCACCCAGACACCTGCACGCCCCGTAACCTGGGCGCCCCTGCTCCCCTCACAGCAGGTCTCTCGTCTGCCTTCCACCCCAACTCTTGCACCCAGTCCCAAGCAACCTTTCACGATGGGTCCTGTCTGACCCAAGGCCCCTCCTGATGCCTTCTCCCTGCACTGAGGAAACACCTCGTGGGGTCCCATGGTCACCAGCACGTGGGAGGCAATTTGCCGCTTTTCTGTGCATTTTTGCCTCCCTCTCTCTCTCTTAGGAAGAGTCCTTGTCATCCCCATGTGAAGACAAGCTCTCTGAAAACAGGGATCCGTGGCCCCTTAAATCAGAGTGGGGAAGCCCTTGACATGATAGCTGTCCTTCCTGTGTCCCCAGCAGGGGCAGGCGCTAGCATGACCACAGTGACATGCAGAATTGGAGTGGAGTTTGACGATCCCAGCTTCTAAATGTGGTGGGTCTATAGCAGTTTGCACACGAGTCACTAATAACCCCTGACAGCAAAAAGTAGGTACCAGACACCAATTTTCTCTTAGAGGTTGTCACCAACCCAGGAGGTGGGGAAGAGGGCCAGTGGCTCACGGTGAGCTCTAATCGAATTGGCATTTCTCGGTGACAACGTCCCGGTGACAACATCCTGCTCTCCCAAGGGGCTCTGTGTGTTTGGTTTCCAGTCAGGGGTGTTGATGGGGAAGAGGAAGAATTTTTTTTTTTAAACCACTTCATTAGCACTTCATCCACGTGTCATACAACTCAATAATTCAGTCATATCAATAAGAGTTGTACAGTTAACGCCAATTCTATGTCACCAATGTTCAATTCTAGAACATTTTCTTCTTCCTGTACTGATGGTTATTCATGTAATCCCCCCCCCCCCCAATTGCAGCAAAAATATATACAACAAAACATTATCCAATTCCACAACTTCTATATGTATAATTCAGTGCTATACTCTTCATGTTATACAGTCATTATTGATATACTTTTCTAAATTATCCCCCCAACCATTAACACAAACTCAATGTCCCCGAAGCAACAACTCTTTCTCCTTCATGGTAACCATTGGTCAACATTGGTTTTTAGTAATTTCCTTGATATAACTTACACATCTCATATGCTTATATAGTTAAATCACTCTTAAAAAGTGTTGCACATACATCATCACAATAAGTTCTAGTCCTCCCTCCCCCTCCTGAAATAAAGAGTAAGAAAGAAAAGACCACCATCAATATTTTAAAAGCAGAGAGGAAATTTCTGTTGTGAAAAAAGTGAGCAATACTTGAGCCTGGAGCAAATTCAGGTTGGGTCAAAAAGGAAGTCAACCGATCAAGTATCTCATGATACCATGGTTCGGCCCACCATAATGCAGTCTACAATCATCTCTGTCTGAGAGTCAAGCTGTTCGAGGCCCTCACCTGTGGCTACAGGGGGTCTGCCAACGGCCTAATCTGACTAGACACTCTGCAGATGACTAGGGGCTCTCACTGTGCTCTACAGCCTTCGACATAGTGGGTGTTCACAACTTCAGCCCTGATACGTTTCCCTTTGTCATATTTGGATTTTGTATTTGTCATCTCTGGGGCACAAAAGGTGATGTGCTTCATACATATGGACTTAGCTGATGCCTCACTTAGATGGCTGTTTGTTTGAATACAAGCCTTTAAGACCCCAGACAAAATTCCAATTGATAGCCGGGCATCATCTGCTTTCTTCACCACACTTTGCTGTAGCACTTTTATCTTCAGGGATCATTTCATGAAGGTGGCCATGTGTTCATTCTATGCTGCAGGAGAGCAAGGTGGCAAGTTGGCTTCTATAAAGATGAAGTAGCCTTGGGACCCCGGGGGTAGTTCTACTCTGTCCTTAGGGTTGCTATGAGCCAGAATTGACTCGCTGGCAGTGAGTGTGATTTGGGATTGGTTTTATTCTGTCAGGAACTGTGATTGGGTACTGGAAGGGCTTCAGAAACTTGGAAACATGGAAAAACTCTACAACTTTTCATTCTATTTTTCCATAAAGTTTCTGAAATCCCCTGTACATTACCTCACTTTGTCCTCACAATAACCGTCTATGTTCGGGATGGTTCTCTCCATTGAAGAGGCATGAAATTGAGGCACAAAATGTGCCTAAGGCCATAGGACTCATCAGTAGCTAAGCATAAATCCAAAGCCAAAATTGTCAACTTTAAAGCCCACACTCAGGTAGCTCTGACACACTACACCCTCTCACAACCCTCCACTGAGGGTGTTTGGTGATTGGAGATGGGGACTAAGGGTCAGCAACGAGGGGATTCCATTAGGAAGCTCACAGGAGAGAGAGAAAAATAGATGAAGGGATCCAAGAGGAATGGCCCACTCCAGCAAGCCAGGGAAAGCCTTCTATTCCTCACCCCTTCATAAATATTGATTGCTCAGGAGTACTTGGTGCCAGGCACAATGGTAGCAGCTTGACTTCTAGCAAAAAGTTACAATAGGCTGTGACGGTTCTAAGTGAGATTAATAACAAGGCTTTCAGAAATCAAGAGGAAGACATCTGAACCGACTGAAGAGCGTGAGACACTTCCGGGAGGCTGGGAGGCTTATGTTCTGCAGGATAAACAGACCAAGCTGAGGACGGCTATGGGTGGAAGATGGCTTCCAGGGGAGGGAGCAGTGTGTGCAAAATCCCAGGAGCAAAAGAATCCAGCACCTGGGGGAATTCCAAGGACTTTAGTTTGGTTCAGGCATGGGGGCAAGGTGCCAAGAGATACTGCCACCTTGAGAGGTTGAGAGATTCCTGCTCAGGCTCTGACCCTTCTCTTACACATTTTCCACCAGGGGGCAAGGAGAATCCCGTCTGCCAGCCATGCCTACCTCTCCCTGTGCCCTACAGACACAAATAAACAAACAAAAATCAACTGCATCGAGACTGGGTGAATTCGGCCTCACAGCAGCCCTGCAAGACAGGTGGATGGATTTCCAGACTGTAGATATTGATGGGAACAGGAAGCCTCATCTTTCTCCCTCAGAGCAGCTGCTGGCTTCAAACTGCTGAGCTCGCAGCTGGCAGCCCACCATGTAACCACTGTGTCACCAGCGCTCCTTCCCACCAGCCCAAGGCTACATAAAACCCTGAAATTCTCTGCCCAAATGCCCCTGAGCCTATTAACCAGGCTCATGCTCACCTCTACCTTCTACCCTGCATTACACCAGTATGTGCACCCTTGGGTGGTATCAATGCCCTATACTCGAATACTAACCAAAAGGTTCAACCCTAGCCAACCCCACTGTGTACGGAAACCTGGAGGGTCCTTCCCATAGAGATCACAGTCCCAGGCAGCACCCTTCTGCTCTGAAACACGAGGGTCATTGCGAGTGGGACCCGACTCAGTGGACTCAGGTTTGCTTTGTTGATGGGTCAGTTTTAATGTACATCCCATGTGTGAGGGTGGCAGAGGGCAGCCACGTTCAGGGGTATTGCCACCTCATGACACAGGAGCAGGGATATCCGTGCGTGCACATGAGGGTCCTCGCAGCGTGAGCTGGGGAGCAGGGATTGTGTTGTGGCAAAGAAGAAGGTTGGGCCATGGGCTGGGGGCTCGCTTTCCTGGGTCTCCCCAGTTCTTTCCTGGACCTCAGAGGAGTCCAGCAAATCTAAATTTGGAGGTGGCATTCTAGGTCAGTATGAGGGTCGAAGTAGAAGGATAGACCACTCTTTATAAAACAGTGTGTTAGCAGGCCATGTTAATTTTAAATGTGTAGACATAGACTTGTGGCAAGATGGTAGACTATGCAGCTACGCTACACAGACCCTCTTCAAAAAAGACAGGAAAGACCAAGTCAAACAGGGAGGGATGCTAATTCTGAAACCCTGAGCTTCAGAGAATAGGGCAGAGAAGTGGGCTGAGTACTGAGGAGAAGAGGCTGAAGGAAGCAGCGGGCAAGGAGACAGATGAGTGAGTTGTTGGTTGGCCTGACTCGGCATGGTCACCTTGAACATTTGCAAACAGCATTTGATCAAGACAGAAAGCTAAGAGCACAAGCACACACCAGTAGGTGGTGCTGAGAAAGCTAGGGTCCTCCCTTGTTCATCTCCTCCTGGTGACCAGAGGCATGGCCAGCCCCCCAGCCCTACCCCTTCACTCCCCCAGTAGCTGGTTACCCCTGTTAGCTGCCCGAGGTTGGAGTGGCTTCCTTGTGGACTTGAGCTCCACTGGGCGGCACCACATCTCGGAGGCATGTGAGCTCTACCATCTGATCACAACAGCGGGAAGCCCAGTGCTGGCCACCCAGAGTGGACAAGAACTCGTTCTGTTACCACCCGCCCTGCCCTCCACTGTTCCTTCCAGGAACTTCTTAGGCAAACACCGAGGGAACGAGTCACTGGGCCTAGGAGTTCAGGCCCATAGTCTCAAGGGATACCAAGGGCCCATAGTCTCAAAGGATACCAAGGCCCCATAGTCTCAAGGGTCAACTGGCATAACACCTTTCCCAAAGACAATGCTTTTCATTCTACTTTAGTGAGTAGCACCTGGAGTCTTAAAATCTCATAATGAACTATATAAGGTGCAACTATTGATTTTTCCCTATCCAGAGAAGAGAAGAGTAATGGAAATCAAAAGACACATGGAAACAGTCCAGTAGACTAATGGACACTCAAACATCAGGTTTCCAAACCCAAGACCTGAAGAGCTAGATGGTGCCCAGCTACTCTGCTCTGAAAGGATCCCATTAGAAAGCCCTGCATAGAATGGGAGAAAAATGTGGAATAAAACTCAAAAGTCATAAAAGAGATCAGGCTCACTGGTTGGACAGACAGCTGGAATCCCCCAAGACTATGGCCCTTAATCACCCTTCAGGTGTTGAATTTTAAGACAAGGAGGTCTATCATGGACTAGTGAGGTACACACACACACCTTAGAATAATCACCCATTTAAAATCAATAGGAAACGCTCCTACTCT